CCGCTCGTGGCGTCGCCGGTCCGAGTTCACCCGTTGAGTCTAGTCAGGTCGTCGTCGAGTCATCATCGACATTTCATCATCTCTATGTGTTTCTGCCTCCCGTCGCCATTATTTGTCGTCTAAAGGTGTTGGCCCCCTCATGCGAGTCGCTTGGGCGCGCTGTGGGGTCGTTCACCCGCGCGTCTCCGGATCTGCCGTGCACCAGCGCCTGCGACTCGTGTCGCACGCACTGCATGGCACCTATATGCGGTGCCTTGCGTCCATCACCGAGCACCTTCCGTCTAGTCTGTCTGCCTGCGTCGTCCCACCGCACCCGCATGCGTGCGATCGACCTACGCAACTGGGCCAAATAAGTTTGTGAAGTCTGAACTTTGCAAAAAATTGAATTAGAACAAGTACTCTGATACCACTTGATGGGAATGTGTGAGGATCGTCGAAATCATACAAGTTATGGACTAACTACGAATTAAACTCTAAGCACAACGAAACTAAAAGTGAGGGTTCAACACGTAGTGTTTAAAATTTTGTCGACTCAGAGATGTTTCTTATTTTCATTGATGGAAATCGCCTAAATCTCATGTCTGGTGGGATGCTGGACTAGGCCTCGCCACACTATTGCAGGTTGCACCACGTCGAACGGGACTGTCAAACCATGATCGGGCTGCTACCAGGTCGTTGTCGGGTAGGTGCTGATCATCTAGGTTGCTGGCGGGTTGACTGGTGCAGCTCGGCCACGCTGGTGCGTGGGTTGGCTTGCTGGTATATTGCCGAGTCGACCTAGGAGTCTTGCGAGCGCTCGGCATCGCATGGATCTCACTGGGACATCCCGGGCCTCACGCAGAGGCACACATGTAGCAAACAGGTCGTGCGCTCGGGTCGCACGATATGTCTGCGGGTCGTCGTGCTGCGCACGCCTACACGCTGGGAAGGACGCGGAAGGGTATCCGAAAAGCTGCTCATGACGTGAACAGTGCCGACGGGTTTTCCTGGGCCTGCTGCGGTACTGTGTGGCCTGGAACGAGGCCGAACGTGGGCAACCACGATTGAGCGCGGCTGGGCTACGGCTGGTCTCTCCAAGGTCGTCGGTGGTTGTCGGACTTCTGGAGAAAATCTCCAGTGGTTGTTAGATGATCGTCGGCGTCATATGGATCTTCACAGGGTTGTATATATATATTTTACGGATGGAAAGCCCCATCTCTAATCCTAGGAGACGTGGCAAAATAGGGGGAGGAGACGGCGTCCGCCTCAATCCTGCCTACCGGAGGCCCGACGGACTGGACCTGCTGCCTCGCCCTCACCTTCGCGGAGCTGCCTAAAAAGTAAAAGCACCACCACAGCCGCCCAATCTGAGGCGAAGAGCTGCCCCGGCAAAGGCAAACTCAACAGATAAAAGAAAGGCAGAGGCCTTGGTCGGGCCGGTCATCTTCGCGAGTTGATGGATCGCCGGCTGGAAGGAGGCGTGTTTGTCCTATTTTTGTTGCATTTTTCTTGTTTATTTTATCTTTCTTTTTCTCCCGTTTTAGGTCTTTTCTTTAGTTTTTAGTCCGTTTCGTGTTTTATTATGTGTTTTCCTTCATTTTGAGTCTTTAGGTGTTTTTCGAATGTTTTTTCGGTTTTCTTTTATGTTTTATCGTTTTTGGTGTGTAGGTCGGGAGCTTCGGGCAAATTTTCTCTTCAGGAAAAGTTGATTTCGAGAGCATAACTGGATAGACGGGTTCGTTAGCTACGTGTAGGGAAAAACGGAACTCAATTTCGAGTTCGGACGAGCTCAAACGAGGCTAAAACGTAAGATGGTGCAGTGCAGCCCGGGTCACGACCCGCGACGTACCCCACGCCCAGTGCCCAGCGCGCGCGACTCGCGACCGAGCGTGTCGCGCCTCACGAAAAAAATAAAGACGCCCGGGCCTGTGACCCTGCTGACTCGCGACTCGCAAGGTAACTCGTGAGTCGCGACTAGGTCGACCCTGTTTTTATTTTTGCTCGTTTTTACTTGTTTTAGCTCCGTTTTTCGAGCACTCTATATCAAAATGATCCTTAGACTCGTGGAAACAACCCCCAATATTGTTTTTTCACTTTCTCCTTCTCTAAAACTCAGATTTATATCATTCTTTTTGCTTAATTCTCTCTTTACTTTTTCGTATTTAGCTTTGTTATTCGTATTTAGCTTTGTCATTGTATTCGAATATTGGATTTCTATTAATCGTAAGTTTCTCTTTTCATCTAATCCATGAATTTGATGGCTTTGATTGTTGAGATTGTTGATTTTGAATTCCATATGAGTAGCTAATTCGTTTCGCTAGGGATAGGGGATGATGATGATGTTTAGAATTTAATTGTGATTTTCATGCTTGTTGATCATTCAATTTATGCGAGTTATGCTTAACTAGGGTTTATAATTCTCGTGCATTGAATGTTGAATATGTTCGGAGAGTGACACTTCGATTTGCAATTGATTTCCAGTTGAATATGATTCATTCTTATGTGATGTGTTTAAATCCAACGAACTAGTAGATTAACAATCGTCTAGGATAATTAATCAACTCTTAGAACTGAAAGGGGAGGAGTTTATCGATCTAGGCTCGTATGAAATAGACTTGTTCGGAAATGTATTGTCTATGTGTTGTGTGATTTGCGTGATTTACCGTCTATGATACCCTTTTGTTATGAAGAGTTATTGAGGATTAATCTTTAGACGTTAGGTTGTTCGAATCATCCAACCGAATGATCTTAGCTTGATATTTGCATTGCTTTGAAAATCATCATCCCCAACTCCTTAGCTTCTTATCATTATTTGATCTTAGTCTTTGCTTTTTAGTTCGATTTTGCATTGTTTGAATTCTTTTTCGTAGTTGATAATTAAAAACCACTATCTTGATTAGAGTGTTTAAGATTTATTTTTCTTTTATGTGTTATCAACACCATTCCTAGATTCCGAACCACCTTCCTTGAGAGATCGACCCGGGGAAAGAATTTTTCGATTAGGTACTCGGTAAAAATATATTTTG